TTTAGTAATACTGTAAATAGTATAGCCTACATTATGTTTAATAAAGCACACATAACTAACCTGACAGCGGGTTAAAAAGGGAAAAAATAAGACTTCTTCTGTCAATAGAATTTCTATTTCTTGTTGCTTCTAGCTCTGTAAGATGACACTTCACTTGTCAGTCCTTTTACTTCCTAGAATTTTCTTGCTTTTAGTAGAGGAAGTGTGTACTTGAGTTTTTTCAGGCTACTAGAGGTTCAAGTTTTTGTTCAAAAGAGTTTATAAACAAGTAAAAGAGGATAAGAGAGATACATAAAGATAAGCTTCAAGTTGTTTTAATGAAAGTATAAAGACTTTATTAGTAAAGAAATTTAAAACTTCTTGCAAACATCTTTTTTGTATATGATCAAAGGATTAGCAGAAAGAGTTTTTTTTTTTTTTTCTATTATCTTTTAAAAGTGTCATAACTATAAGAATAAGTATTTCTTTTATTAGAATAAAATATTAAAAACTCACTATATTTATAAAAATTATAATTATTTTTTATATTTCAAAATCATTTCTGGATTTTTTTTTATTCTAATTTAAATAATTTTTTCACCCTCATATAATATACAAAATTATTGAACTTATATTTTTTTTCAAACATATTTAGCATTAGTGACAGGTTATGATTATTAAGATTATAAGAAAGATATATTGTATTTTTTTTTTCAAAGAATTAATAAATCAAGTAATGACAAATTAATTTGAAAGAATTCAGAAGGATCTAAGATTCAAATAAGAAGTGTCTAGAATAAAAAAATTATTATTTGTTCAAATTAAGATCTTTTTATTTTTAATAATAGAAATTTAATTCAATTGAATACTTTTGGATAACAAGTTACTAATAAATCTATTAAAGATTGGATTTTAGAAAGTTTAGTAATATAAATAATATATGGTTCCATGTAACAATTTTTGTAATTACTGTAAATAATTTTGTATATTACTTTATTAAAGCCAATAAATATGACCAAACCTTTATTTCAAAAAACATACTATATATACTGTATTTAAAAAATTCTAATTCAAAGGTTACTGCAAATTGATAAATTGTTTTTAAATCAAGTTTAAAGATTTTTAATACTTAAGAAAAGTTATTTAGATATAATTGATAATTTAATTATAGTATATGCTATTTATTGTAGTTCAAATAAATATAATATATATTCTTTTAGTCAATAACTTATTATTTGATTTTATCAAGGATTAGTTGATTAATATAAGCTATTTACAGCATATACTGTACATTTAAATTTTATTTATCAAGTTATTTCATTATAACAAATTCTTGAAATTTACAGTATTTTAAGTTTTCAACCAGTTTCAAACTAAAACAGAATCGAACAACTTCACTATTAACTTTAAATAAATAAAATATGTTAATACGTACTAATGAGCGTATTACGTACTTTTGAACATGAAGAAGAAATACTATACATTTGTTTATAATAATTCGACCATAGCATATATTTCGTTTTCAATGGTGACCTCAGAGTAGAAATCACCCTGTGGCGACACCAAACCTCTTTGCTATTCCTTATGGGTTTACATAGGGTATAAAACATTTATCAGTGACTATTCTACTTCGTTGGATCGAATGCACGATAAGTTTGTCCGCTGGATGGAAGTGGATATGCTGATAGCCTTTTCCGCATAATGTTTGTAGAATTCTCTTTAAAAAAAAGAAAGGTTGCACATTTAGGGAAGAGGGAAGAAAAAATAAAGTCACATCGATGTAATTTATTTACCCGTGTACAATATTGAACAAGGCAAGTATCAATGACGTTGCGGTCCCGACTGTGGTCAGAGCCATAATGATCGCCGAAACTTCCAGATGTGATAAGGCTCTCATGGACAATAATAGCGCAAAGCATGTCACTCCACACCAACTTACGATCGCCGTGAGAATGGCGTTCGTGAATTTTAGCTATGAAGGTGAATGGTGTGAGCTGTGCTGTTTCCGCATGAATATTAAAATTATGAAATTTACCTTTGTCACATAAACTTTATATTTCTCAAAGCTGGTAATGTTCACCGGAGAAACAAGATCACTGACTCCTGATAATCGTACACTTCCTTCAAGTAATTTCACCAATAGTCGTCCATATTTTATGAAACAAAGGATTGAGATTGATTGAGTTGCTCCGAACATAAAGAGAAATATTGATCCAGACAAAAGAGCCCCTTCTCTATTGTGAGTCGATTGATAATGACCTCTTAATACCGATAATATTAATGTGAGGATACTCGTCGCTAGGACAAATGTCCAGTAAAGTAAGGTTATCGAACGTTCACTAGGGATGAATTGTTGATCACCGTTGAGAGTGGGGATCTGATGAAATGCTAATTTTGGGAGTGTTTTAAATCTGTGCGTGGGGGTGGAGAGGAGTTAGTGTTTGCCAAACGTGATAAGGTTATTATTGATTGCGGGCAGACAAACTCACATTCTGACCAAATAAGACCAAATAGCAATCACTTCAAAAAGCCAGCCGAAACATGTTATTATCGACTTGATAATAAAATTTGAAGGAATTAAGGTAAAAGACATGATTATCAACGTGAGTGCCCGAACTATTAATAATAAGATATTTTGTGAGAAAAAGTGCCTTTTACATGATAATTAATGTAAACAACACGCACATAACCCGTGTAAAGTCAGCATAACTAAAAATCCAATTATCGGTTCCATCATTTTATCATTCCATAATGGCATTTTATTAAAGAATATTTTGTGTAATAACAAAGAGAGTGAAAGCGCCATCAACAAGCAGTATAAGATGATTGCCACATGAGCAATCTTTAGGAAAGTTGAACTTCCTTCACAATCCGTTATCATCCCCAAATCCCAACGGCACGATGGTAACGTTTGATTTGTGTTCATGCTCATGCTCAGATTATCATGTTTATGAATTCTTCGTAGCAGCGAGGTGGGATTTATAATATAACATTTTGTGATACTATCATTGATGGAAAGTTGTTACACGGATCGAATATTCACACAATAACATATACACTATCCTTGCACAATAAGCCATCGGAAATTGAGAATTGGTTTTGGACGAGCAACAAATTGCCTAGCAAAGCAAATCCAGAATCTTACGATTTCGACATTTCCCCTGTCCATGAGTTTGCAACATAACATATACCATTTTAGCTTTTTTCCATAGATATGGTACGTTTTCGGAAAAGTGTGAAACATTGAAGACAACGAATGATTATATTCTGTTCAATTTTCATTGGCAGAGAGGAGATAATGTTCATTTATGGTTACTTTATACAGGTGATTGTTTTGTTTGGATCTGTAGGTGTCCCATCTACCACGGCAACTCGTTAAACACGTGGTAGAACAGGGACAGATCTGACCGCGCACTGCCGAGTTTTTTGCCTTCCATTCGTTCCCGTCATTTTATTCCTTCATATAAATCTTAATGCATTCATCTCGTATGTTTTTTACTAATTTTGTTACATGGATAATTATGATTTTTTGGTCTCTATTTTCAAATATATGAATTTCAGGTTGTCCGTCTTCGAATATTGAGTA